CTTCTGTAATAATCATTTTTTCAAAAAGTTCATTGCTTCAAATATTGGACACAGCTTTTTATTACATGTCTTGAACTTTTGGCAGAGATGTTACGGTTCATTCAACGTTAACTATAAGTGCCTGATTCTGTCTTACGATCAGTATATCAAAAACTCAATTTCATTCAACGTCTAGAGTGGGAGAGTAATATTTCTTTGCTCGCGGGGTAGTTTCATTCTGTTGTCGCGGTTCTTTCATAAAGTTGCCGAGGAAAAATGGCTCGCCTGACCCAGGCGTCGATGTCAGTGAATCGAAACGTTAGGTAGGGAAGCCGCGGCACGGAAACTTGCTACTCAATTTTCGTTTGATGGCGAAACTTTGGTGAAGCACTTTCGTACCGCGTACGCGAATGAAAAGGGGAACGCAGCTCCCAAGTCCTCGTAACTGGTTTATCTGGTTAAAACACAGCCAATGTCTTAGACGACAACTTATTGTCGCATGTGAAATCGAATTGCGAGTTAAATTACGCGACGTAAACACTTCTAGAAATTGCTTAGGAAAGAATGTTTGTAAATGAATGAGTGATTTATTTTATAATTTATTAAGTTGTTCACTGAATTATATTATAAATATTTATTAAATTATTTTATACATATTTACTAAACTATTTTATATAAATATATTTATGAAATTATTATTTATGTCGTTAATTTATTAAATCTGATGCTAGCTTTCAATTGTACCCTCGGAGAATTTTATATAAAATAAATAGATTGAATTGATAGACTTTTAGATCACTAAATCCACTGGAAACTAGCCAAAGGATTAGTGAGCTTTCGCTCCCCTCGAAACCTCGTTAGCTATTCCTAAACTCTGAAAACAAATGACAATGAATATCGATTTCCCATTAAAGTGAGTAACTGACAGTTTATTAACTTCTTTTGCTTCGTTTCTCTTTCTAGTTTCGATTATTTACGTGAACGCCAGTTTACGTTCCCCGGCTGTTTTATTGAGTCAACAACTTCAGGTCAAACGGTAATTAAATTAATTTCTTTGCTTTTTCTCAAACTAACATTAGCATTTTATTACATGTATAATAATAATAATAATAATAATAATAATAATAATAATAATAATCTTACTTCTTTTTTAAAGAGAGGATTAATCTGCTTTGCACGTGAATTTAATGCTCGAATAAAAGCAGAGGGAAAAGAAATTTCGTAGATTGTTGAGAGATTAAAGGCAGCAGATCAACGTTTTCATGTACTGTAGTTTTTTCGTCTTTCTTTTTTGGTTTGACAAGACGTTATGTTTCTTCTTTTTATTCTACCGCGGTCCGAAAAATCACGACGGTTTTACCAACGGAAGCGACGATTTATGGTCGTACGATGCGTTTCCATTGAAAATTTGATTAACGACCGTATACGTGAAACCGAGTCTGGTTGATTCCGTCCGTGTATTCTATTATTCGATGGCAATTCCTAGGGACAGGAAGATTGATTTCAATCGATCAACGATGAAATTCACGGCATTAAAAA